AACGTCACATTTGGGTGCCGCGACCGATACCAAGCCAGTTGGTCGTCACAGGACGAGACAACACGACTGACGCGACAGGCGGACGTCACGTTTGGAGCAGCGACACCCGGACGGAGCAGCAAGGAGCGAACAGCTGGCGCCGCGGCGAAGACGTCACAATTGGTGCTGTTTAGGGACGTCACACTATGAAAAGGAAGTACAAAGAGGACTTTATATTGCTGATCTAAGTATAATACTGACTTAAATATAAAGTGTTTTACAATGTAAAAAAATATAGTGATCAACTTAAATTTATTGATTCTAATTAGCCAAAAAAACAAAAAAAAAACACTATGCTTTTAAATGCAAAACAGTTGACAATGTGCTGAGAATCCATTGCAAGACAACAACATTCCTGTTCACATTTACAATATAGAAAATTATTAATTGATAACATGACTATCCTACACCATGAAAACAACAAACTCAGATTACATATACTAGAAGCAATTTATATTAAAAAATTAAAGCCAACATTGAACAGAATAAAAAAAACAACAAAAAAAAAAACAAACTCATAAAAATCATAAATTCTACTTTCTTGTGAGCTTGTCAAGATTTGGATAAGTACAATATTTAGAAACAAAATCAAACTAACAGAAGTTACAATAAGCAAAAAGTTTGAGGAAACCCAGCATTTCTTAATAAAAAAAAAAAAAAATAAAATACAACACCTGATTTTTTTTTAAAGTAAAAGATAAAACTACAGTATATTTGCTTTAATTTTAAAAATTTCCTCAGGCTTCTTTCACTACCAAAGAGTTAATATTTGGATTCATCTCTATGGTGGTTTTATTGATGAAAATAAAATATAATTTTTTTAAAGTTAAGTGCTTATTTTTTTTGTCAGAATTAAAGCAAATACACTGTAGTTACTGACATTTTATCTCATACTTTAAAAAATATATAAAAATATATCACATTTAATGTGTTTTTTTAAGAAATGGAGGGTGGCCCCAAACTTTTGGCTTGTAGTGTAACAATATCTGCGATAGGATTTTCTTCGAGAGTGAAACAATGCGAAACAAAATTTCTTTTAAGGCTAAACTATTTTAATCAGACATTTTCTTTAGTTTTCTTTTCCCTAGGCGATGCTTAAACGTCCAGTTTCTTTTTTATTATGTGTCAGCGTATTTCCAACGGGGTCACGTTTATAGAATTTTACCGTTTATTTAGTCTTAATGATTGTTTCGCTTCTCTAATTTCCAACCACCAGCAAGATGCCTATCAGTAAAATGTCGAAGTTTTTTTTTTGAAACGTTGAATTTGAATCTCTAAACACGGAAACTGCCCCTTTGACATACCCCCAATGTCTTTCTTTGTAAAGTTCTCGGATTGACAACATAAACCGATTATTATTATTATTATTATTATTATTATTATTTCTTTTTAGTCGGGTGTTCGGGAGTGGGTTTCCCCGAGGAGAAAGGTTGAGAATAATCATGTACTTGCAATCTGGTGATATAAAGCAGACCCCCAAGAAAAAGGTCAAAGTATCTTCGCGACAATATAAAATACGGCTGTAACCACAGGGGTAATGCTGATAGAGAGAGAGAGAGATGAGGAGAGAATGAAAGAAAGAAAGAGAGAAAAAAAGAATGAATGAGAGAAAGGAAGAGAGAGAATGAGAGAAAAGAAGAGGGAGAGAAAGAAAGAAAGAAAGAAAGAAAGAAAGAAAGAACGAGAGAAAAAAAAGAGAGAGAATGAAATAAGGAGAGGGAGAGACAATGAAAGAATGAGAGAAAGAATGAAAGAAAGAATGAGAGAGAGAGAGAAAGAGATTAAGAGAGAATGAAAGAAAGAAAGAAAGAAAGAGAGAAAGAAAAAAGAAAGAACGGAAGAAAGGAAGAGAGAGAATGAGAGAAAGGATGAGGGAGAGAATGAAAGAAAGAACGAGAGAAAGAAAGAGAGAGAATGAAAGACAGAAAGAGTGAGAAAGAGAATGAAATAATGAGAGAGAGAATGAAAGAAAGAATGTGAGAGAGAGAGAAGGGGAGAGAATGAAAGAAAGTATGAGAGTGAAAGAGAAGAAAAGAGAAAGAAAAAGAGTGAATAAAAAAGAATGAGATAGATAGATAGAGAGCGAGAGAGAGAGAGAGAGAGAGAGAAAGAGAAGAGGGAGAGAGAGATGATTTTTAACGAATGCTCAAAACCATTCGTGAAAATCAGTTCTCATCACTTCACAGATGAATTGGCTTGTGTAAATCTCTTTCGACCTCTTCTGCCAAGATAGGATTGGCTAGATTTAGCCTAGATAAATGGCAGCAATAATCCATTTTTGGTCAGATTTGGCTTTTGTAGGATAGAGCATGTGGGAGGGCGATTCCTTTACGTACTTTGTTTATTTCGACATGTCATTGATAGCCATCTTGCTGATGTTAGGATATTAGAGACACAAAACTATCTTCAAGACTAAATAAATGGTAAAATTCTAGAACGTGGCCAGGTTGAAATTACGCTGATAAAATGACTAAAACTAAAGCAGAAGTAAACATCACTGGGGGAAATTTAAAATTAAGACAATGTCAGATTGAAATAGTTTAGACTTAAACGAACTTTTGTCTGAAATTGTTTGAGCCTCGAAGAAAATCTGTTTTCAGAAATCTATTATTTATTAGATTTCACCCATTACAAGGCTCGAGAGTCACTCACGGTAGAGCGTTATTGAATGACATGAAATTGTTTGAGCCTCGAAGAAAATCTGTTTTCAGAAATCTATTATTTATTAGATTTCACCCATTACAAGGCTCGAGAGTCACTCACGGTAGAGCGTTATTGAATAACGCGAAATTGTTTGAGCCTCGAAGAAAATCTGTTTTCAGAAATCTATTATTTATTAGATTTCACCCATTACAAGGCTCGAGAGACACTCACGGTAGAGCGTTATTGAATGACGTGTTTTGTTATGAATATAAGTCTAGGAGGTAGGAAGTGAGGATTATAAGGATAGGGAGGATAGACAACGATTAAGTGTTTGCTTTAGAACTTTCATTGATTGAAACTGCTTTCTCAAACTCGTTCTGGGTATGACGATAAACTCCATCCGGCAGCAATGCCTCTGATCGGTAGATTGGTGGTGTTGAGGAGCGGAGAATCACCTCTTAAGTGCTGTTGTTCCCAGGTCCACCCTGATCCGGGGTTGTAGCACCTCTTAGGGTTCCAGCTGTGGCCAAATAGTGACCCCCCTCCCCACAAAAAAATCAACGGTACATTTTTATAGTAAAATAAGCAACAATACAGTGTTACAACAAAATTACAATCAATATAACACTAAAAAATTACAATACATTTTTATAAAAAATTACCAGTAATACATTGTTATAGTGAAATTACCAGCGATATATTTTAAAAGCGTTACCAACAATGCATTTTACCATGTAAGTATGAAATTATGTACAAAATATCTATAGTTGAAGGCATAAGATTGTGTACAAAATATTTAGATTTCGGTATTAAATGACTCATAGAGATGTCGATATGCCGCTAAAAAAATTAGCCAACCGTTCTCGACTTTTTCAAATCGCGTTTTGTCTCGCTCATCAATCAGGTTGAGTCATAAATAATTTCTGTTTTTGTTTATCAAATTAATTCTTTAAAAAAAAAAAGAAGCAATGTACAACAACAGTTCCATCTTCCATTATTTTTTTTATTGATTCGTTGTCGCTTATCAGGCAATTCTTCGATACATTTTGTGCAAAATTCCACAGGGACTGACGTGGAAAAGTCTTCGACGAACTTTTGAATCTGGTTTCCATTAGAGAAAGTTTTCTTCCATTTAAAGCGTTTTAAAACGATCGAAAAAAGGGAATTGATTGGTACAAAACAAAATGAATATGGCGGGCAGGTTAGAACAGAGTAGACGAGTTGCAAATTTTTTTTTCTCGTGTTATCCTTGCTGATACTGCGGATACCATGGACCAACCGTGTGAGCCATGACGAAGCAAAGAGGAAACTTATACTTAACATCAAGAAAAGACAGTATAAATTTATAGAACACATAATGAGAAAAGAGGGATGGGAAAATCTGATAACTTAAGAGGAACAAAGGAAAACAACGTATAACCTACTTGAGTAAATGGATGGAGGAACAAAGTTTCGGAGAGATAACAAAAAAAAAAAAAAAATTTCTTAAGAGCTAAAAAGGCCAGGGAATTGTAGAAGGGACCCGGCACATAGAAGAAACTACGGCCTTGCGTCGGGACACTTCTACGTGGTGTAATGGTTAACAAGCTTGCCCTCGCTAGATCAATTACGACTGAATAGTAAGTTCGATTATCACTTCTTGTGTCACATTTAAGCTACGCCTTCCACTGTCATGACGGAAAACAATATTTTCCTTTAATCCACTGTGTACGCTGCCACTGTCATGCAAAAAGTAAGGCAGGTTAGTGTTCTTCAAATTTATTTTTGACTACCACGTATGATTACTATTTACGATGATATATTCGACATACGAATTAGTTCCTCCAAAACGGAAATTACTTGATTCAGCACAGTCTATCTATCTATCTATCTATCTATCTATCTATCTATCTCAATCATATCTATCTATCTCAATCCCATTCATATCTATCTATCTATCTATCTATCTATCTATCTATCTATCTATCTATCAATCCCATTCATTCATATCTATCTATCTATCTATCTATCTATCTATCTATCTATCTATCTATCTATGATTATACATTCGTCAATGCCGCTGGTTAAGAAAAACGGAAATTACTTATGACTCAATAAATTTTGTTGAAATAAAATCCATTTTTCTGATGAAGTCAATACATCAGCGAAACATGTTAAAATGATAGTTATCATACACATTAACCAGACATACATATACATTCACATATCTAAAACCACACTCAGAGTGGTTTGTATACATAATGGTTGACTATTCTTATTTTCCGAGTACACCAGTCTGCTAGAGCGACTAGCCAATCCCCCCGTCTTTTATACTGAAGCTATGCTGAACGGATCTTATCTGCATTTTCTGAGAGAGAGAGAGAGAGAGAGAGAGAGAGAGAGAGAGAGAGAGAGAGAGAGAGCGTGTATCCTGCCATGATCACCAGTTTGTGCAACGCCAGAGCTCCAAAATCCTCGGTCACGATGACCTGTGACTTCGTGCTAGAACAACCATTCACGGCTTGCTGATATATCTGTCTACTCATTTTCACTCACAAAGCTTGGGTTAACCCGTGGCATGGATTTTCAGTCACTTTCCAAAATGTGACGCATGCTGGGATCGACTCCACAGAACGGTGACATCAACAAGTCCCCTTCCTGACAAATCGACCATGGTGAGATTCGAACCCGGGTTTCCTTGTCGGAAAGCAAACGTTCTAACACACACACACACACACATGAATTAAATAAATATAGATACAAGCAACCATAACTGCGTGCGATCACGCGCATATATAAATTTGCAAATAAATATTTAATTTAATTTTTACTATTAACAAAACAGTGCTCAATGTGGTATTACAGAGCTATATGTAAGACCAACCTACAACAAACATATTGATTTAGAATTTTTTTCTAACCAAATTCTTCAAGGATCATGGATTAGGTGTTACTACTAAGGTGATCAACTTTCTGGATTTCACTTTTGATCTATCCAAGGGAATATATAAACCTTACATTAAAGAAGCAAGGATTCTAACCATCACCCTGGAATTTAAAATAATTTACACAAATCAGTACAATTTAGACTTTCATCTAACTCTCGCAATAAAGACATTTTCTTTTTAACAAGCACAAAACCAAATATGTAGAAGACTTAGAAAAAAAAGAAAACATAAAGTTAAACTAGTATACAGTCCTGAGTAAGACGATAAACTACATGTGGCAGCAAGGCCTCTGATCAGAAAGTTTTGAGGAGCGTGGAACCACCTCTTAATTGCTGATGTTCCTAGATCCACCCTGACACGGGGTAGTAGCACCTGTTAGGGTCCCAGCTATGGGCAAATAGTTAACCTCCAAATTTGGGTCAAAACACTATAAAAGTGGAAAAATAGGTTTCAATACCAGCAATACATGCTTGAAGGAAAAAATAGTACCAGCAATACATTTTTGTAAATAATTATTACCAGCAATACATTTTTTTGAAAAAATATTACCAACAATAAAAACCTTAAAAAAAAAACCCACTGAGGTTTATATATCGTAAACCAAACCAAACCAAACCAAACCAAACTAAACTAGAATACTTCGATAAAAACAAAACAGACAACAACAGGCTTAAGCATAGAAAACGCAACATAATTTGGTTTAACTCACCATTTAACCACAATGTCAAAACCAACATTTTCCTTAATTTAATCCATAAACATTTCAACCATAACCCAATGCTGAAAATGTTTTTCAGCAAAAACAACAATAAAGTTAGCTACAGCTGAACAAAAAACCTCGAACAATATATATCACATCATAATAATACAACCACCATGACAATAACAATATCGAAAAAACTTGTAACTGCAGAAAAAACAAGGCCTGCCCACTGAATTCCAAATGCATGTCTAAAGGCATTGTTAATAAAGCTAGTATTAAACATAATGGCTAAATTAAGTTTTATTTTGGTTCCACTGCAAACCAATGAAAATCCCAGTATTACCAACACAAAATGACGCTTACCGATAGTCAATATTCCAACAACACATCACTAATTTTTTCTGGAAAATTAAGACGGATCACTACATTCCATTAGTAACTTGGAATTACATCACTAAAGCCAATCCTTTTAGTGGCAAGGAAAATAAATGTAACCTGTGCCTCTTGGAAAAACTTATCATCCTTAAAACTATTGATAACTCCAACCTGCTGAACAAATCAAGTCAAATTATAACCACATTCATTCATAGAAAAATTTTCTTCTTAAATATTTCAATTTTGGTTAGTATAATTAATCTAACAATTCACAGAGTTACCGTCCTTTTCCCGCCCTTTTTTTTTTACCACCGCCCTACATATATTTTCACTATCATTTCTTTATTTTATATGTTACTTCTCCATAAATATACCGTTATGTTTCTAATTTTATTGCTTCTGTTTTTATATTCATAAATTTATTCATCTTAATTTTATATTAATTTTATAATTCTCAATTATATATTTTAATTATTCTTATATTTATATTTATAAATATTTATTATATATCTTGTTTTTATTTTTCTTATTGTGACGTCCCCCGGTGTCGCTGCGCCAATCGTGACGTCTGCCTGTCGCGTCCGCCTTGCTGTCCTGGTCGCGGCGCCAATTGTGATGTCACTCCGTCTGTCTCGAGCCGTCGTCGTCCTATCCTGTCCTGTGACGACCACTGTGACTTGGTATTGGTCGCGGCACCAAACGTGACGTTCTAACCTTTTGCCGATTCAGATGGGAATCTGGTTAGATTCGGCATCAGCCTTGTCGTTCCCAGCTCGCCTCCAACGTCTGGTTACCGAAGTAACTGTTTTGATTTCTAGTCTAACCTACCCACGTTGTGATTTGATCTTAGGTAGACGAAATCAATCAGTCGTCGGGCCGTAATGCAAGTCGAGTCCGGACAAGGGTAATACCGCACAAGTATATGTAAAAGAAAATAAAGTAATAACTCGAAAAGTTCAAATGTGTTAAAAAGGAATAACAATATTTTATATCTGGTTTCTGAATACAGGACTGCGTCTTTCTCCCAAACCGCTAATATGGATACGTGACACTTTGTGTTTGTTAGGCGAGCCTTAACATCTTAAATTGTTCTTTTAAGAAACTGGTTTTGGTGTATCTTCAGGCGATATTCGTAAAACTTGTTTTGGTGGTGTGAGTCTAAGTCGTTCTTCAAAAATAAATTGTTCTTGGTTAGAAGTTGAGGTCGTGATTGCGTGGGATCTTTCAGTCAGGTTCCTGCGAGGCGGGTCTCACTCTGCAACTCCAACCCAACTGCGAACTCAGCTGCGAACTGCGAACTCAACTGCGAACTTACTCGTTGCGACTCTGCTTATATGGACGCCGACTAAAACCGGGGTGGGCCTGTCGGGGCCTGAGGTTCCTTGATAATTCTAAATCCGCATTAAGGGTTTTCTTTGTTTTCGGTCAGGAAGATTTATCAATTTCCATTTTTGGAAGTCTTTACTTTCTAGGGTAGGGAATCGTCCCACCACATTCTTCTTTTCTCATATGGGTATCTCATACCAATCCCTTCAGAGGCGTCAGCGGGTTTTCCTTCTCTCTCACAGTGGCATCTCATACCGATCCCTTCAGGGGGCGTCAACAGACCTCCCCCCCCCTTCTTCACATGATTACCTTCGCCTACCGCTCAAGCCACCATTCAGCCAATGGACGCCCAGCAGTGTGGGTGTGGCTAGACTAGCCTCGGTTTAAAAAATCTTGCTCAAAGAAAAAAAAAATATCTTCCTTTTTTTTCTTTTTCTTTTCTTTCTTTTCTTCTGCCCGACAACAAACCAATACGACCCGTAGTATGGTCCCTTAATCTCAATCTTATCCGAATGTCACCTGGGGCTTGTCAATCAGATTTTCGCCAGCACCAAGTGGGTGGTCATCTAGCGACTTTGCATTCTGTCGCTAATTAACTGTTTCGATAAAATAATTTTCCTATCATAGCCAGCTCCGACACAAAACAGATGCTTTTTCTCAAATGATAGCTCCACAGATAGTTAAGGGTTTAATCTTTCCTTCCTGATACTCTACGGGTGGTCCAGCGGACATTTTTCTCGCGACCCAATTAATTTTTATCTCTTAGAATTCTGCCCTGTAGGCCACATGACTGACCTGAAATTTTCACCATTGCCATGGGCAGACTGCCACCTTTCACTCGGTGCGCCGTCATAAATCAAACGCGACAGATCCGCGACCTTACTTTCTTCGCTAATGAAAATAAAATATTTATCACTTTTCCTTGTTAGAAAAAAATAACATCGTCTTTTCGTGATAGATTCTTATCACCTAATTTAATTCTCGCTTTTTTTCTTTTTTTTTCACGCAACCCTAAATAGTGTCACATTATTTTTACATATATAAATATTTAATATTGTAGAGACTGCTATGTTTTTCCACGCCCACATTTTATTCGTCTGCGATTGGCTAATAAATCAATACTGCCTTTCTATAGGACAATTTATCCATCGCAGTCGTTGCTTTGAACTTGCTTACTTGTTTCGTTACTACAAATTTAGCGATTGGTCAAATTTTAACCAATCATATATTTTAGTGCAAAATCCACTTTTCCCGCGGTTTCGCTGGGAGCCTACCTGTAGCTTTAAAAGAGGGGGCTTTTTCACAAGCCGCCAGTAGAGTCCACTAAATTTCGCCTGTCAACACAAACCTATGACTTTACTCACAACATTTCAAACGCACACACAGATACAGAATTTTGTAATACATATATACATATCTCTCTGTGACTCAGCCAAGTTCAATCAACCAGGACTCTCTTATGTTATCTATTCTAACAAACAGTCCTTTGTTCTAATATTGATTCCTGAACATTTTTCTCTCACGAGAACTTTCTTTCGAACAATCAATAACAAATCAAAATACGATAAAAGGGAAGCAACTTCTTTTCCCTTAATCTATACATTGAATACAAATCATTGTATATTTCGTTCGTGTATGTTATTTCAATATATACTTGTTCATTCACATTTGGAGTTTCGTTGTTTTCTTGAATCATTAATAATACAAAAGATATATGCATTCAAGAACACGCCCCAATAACAATATTATTATCTATATTTATATATATTTCTTGTCCTTTTCTTTTCCTTTTTTGTATTCTTATTTATTTATAAATAGCTATTACAATTGTTCTTTTTCTTATCCTTATCTATATATATATATATATATATATATATATATATATATATATATATATAGCTAGAGATACACAGATACAAATAAATACACAGATATAGATACGACTTGTACATGATTTATTCTTCAAGCACTGTCGTCGACATACGCAATCATTCCCTCTCTTTCTTTCAGAGATTACAAAGTTTTTTTTTTTGCCTATAGAACACAGGAATGAAAAAACAAAAAACAAATCAGAACGAA